AAGGACCAGAGGAAGGCAAGGAGGCAGAATCAGATAGAGTGAGAGATATAGAGCGAAGAGTTTAGTTTTTGTAAAAAATTATTTCTCCACTATAATTAATTCAATGTAATTAACATAAACATAAGTAATTATTTATATTCAATACCAATCCATCCAAACAAATATATACCAATACCCTAGGCTTAATTTATTTTTCCATAGGCTTTCGTGTTTATCTCACGCCTGCGTGTACGCCCTAACAAGACTCATTGCCACCTCAGTCAAGGCTCACGTATATGGGGCATTAAGCTTCTAACTCGTTTCAATTAGTACTACCTAGGGGATACTCCTGCCTTCTAGCTCCTCCTCTGTCTTCTCCTCATCTCTTCTTCTCCTTCCTTCAGTTTCTCTCTCTAACCTCTCTCTAGAATCAGAAAATCTGCCAAAAGCCAACTTCTAAAGGGGAGAAGTCCCCTATTTATAGAATTTTGCAGACACGGGCAAGTTTACGGGCAAGGTGCAAAAGATCGAGGTCGGGATGTTTGGGTAGAGGCTGCAATCTAGGGAGTCACCATTTTTCACCTTGTTGGATGTGGAGTTCGCGGTCTAACTTCCCGGTTGCAATCCGGGATGTCACGGCGGCGATTTTTATCGCGGGCATGGAAGACAGGGGCCGCGAGCCGGCTGTCGAAACTCTCGTGTTGGCCACTCCTGAAATTCACAGCCTTGGCTCCAAAGTTCGTGGCCGTGAACTTGAGGCTATGATCTTGATGTCAAATTCACGGGCAATAGGCAGAAGATCGCGACCGAGATCTTTGCACTGTAGGTTGCGATCTTTGTGCTCCAGTTCACTCCCTTGGCTTCAGAGTTCATGGCTGGGATCTTGGTACTAGAGGCTGGAATCTTAACTCCTTCAGCCATGATCTCCCCTTTTGCTCATTTTTCTACACTTGTGCACTTTTTTGGTACCTAATACATACATATCATCTAATACACCCTAGAATAACGATATATCATCCAAGGAACGAATCAAAGGTATATTTGACGATATATTGGCAATGAAGAACATAAAATAACTTAAAATAAGCCTATATATGGGTTCCAAATAACACTAATTTGAGTATTATGAGGTACTACCACTTGTCTTCATATGAATGTCTCTGGTTCAAATCACTAAACTAACACCTAACAATAAAACAAACAAATGTCACCTTTATATAAAAACGTTTTATGTATGAATTAAACAATTTTTGTATCAATGAGGTGATTTTTTATATTTATTTTTTTATGTGTGTATTGTTGCGGTTACTTAAACCGTGTTAGTATTGGGCCTTGTTGGGACTCGTCTGATTCATTGGATTAGGGTTTTAACCCTAACTTAATCTATATAAGCTTAGCTATCGACTTGTGTGATAGCAAGCCGTTAAGATGTAATCCTAATAAGAAATCAGTCGTGAGCTCTTATGAGCTTGCCGTGGATTAGTCTCGATCAATCAATCGATCGAGGATACGACGTAAAACTCGTTGTCCCGTGTTATTTTCAATTCCGCATCATCAAATTCTACATGGTATCAGAGCGAAACTCGATCCCTTCTCTAGGATTTTTGAGCTTCCGCAGCCGTTGCCTCTCCGTAGCAGCTTTGACGTCAACAGTCCGATGTCTCTTCCGATCATCAGTCTGGCCGTACGTGAGAGACCGCAGCAGCCGATCAGAGTCACAAAAGTTGTCGCCCCGTTGCTGGTTTTCCTGTCTTGCAGATCGTCACCAGGTCAGACAAAGAAGCAACCTCTCTGTTCATAGGGAAAGGTGTTTCCGTCGCTGTCGAGGCGTTGTGTGCCATCAAATCTTGTTCGTTGTTGATTACAAAGAGGCCACCGTCATCAGGCCTCAAATCCAGCTCCGAGCGTGTCTCGGTCTTCATCACGATCTACAGTCAAGGTCCCAGAAGTCGAGGCGTCAACCGTGAGACACCTTCCTCAATCTCACGCTACGGTTGGGTTGCCGACGGGTCGAGATCCAGATGTAGATCCTAATAGACGAAGTCCAGTCCGTCCAGTTAAAGTCGTCCGACGACTACATCATCCTGCCGTCGCTACCTTAATTGACGGCGCCATCGTTTGGCATCACCAACGCCTTCACCATCAGCATTGGCGCAATCGTCGTCTTCATCACCACGCCGGGAAGGGAAGCAGGCCATGATCAGCATAGCGACGCCATCGATGTCTCCGTCCTAGCCTCATTGACCTGCCCATATCTCCGCCTTCGAGAGAGCGACGGCGAAGTCCTTCCCGCCGTCGCATCTTTCTTCCTAGTCGCCCGGGGAACCGATGTCTATTCCGGTCTCCCACGCCAACCAAGTACCGGCGGCGAAGTCCATCCCGCTGTCGTGTCTTCTTGCCTGACTCCAGGAGTATCGATGTCCAATCCGGCCTCCAATCCGTTTCATCGTCGCCAACAGCAACCCGGCGACATCGACGTCTCTGGCCGGCCTCTGCTCTCTCCACCGTTTGCAGCTCCATACCGCCGCTGTTTGCTTTGCCAGACAAGAGTGTTGCGGGTGAGAAGGTGGGGCATTCGGGAGAGGCACAAGGTTGCCGAAATGGCCTTAATGGGCTCAATAGGTTTGTTTGGGAAGAGCTTAAATGGGCCACCAATCAAATTTTGGGCTTTATTGTTGTTTTTGCAACGTCAGTGGCCGGGTTGGCCATTTATGTTTTTGTTTGCAGGCAAGCACTTCCTTAAGCATTGAAGCAGTGAAGTTTTTTTCAATCCAAAGCTTGGTTGACCCTTCACTTGTCATTGTTTGAGTGATAGAGAACTTCCGCAAGCAATGATAGTCAAGTATCGGTCGAGGCATTCATGATTCATAAAATGGTCGTCCCCTGGCGCTCAAAAGGTAGTACGATCAGAGAAGTCATCGTCCCTTCATCGTCCAGTTGGCATTCACGATCCCAAGAAATGGTCGTCCCCTCTTCCGGTTCATTATTGGGCACATATCAACCATTCATCGCTTTTCAAGCCGGGCATTCACGATGTTCATGCTCCGACTTGAGGGGGAGAATAGGAGGTCAACATACGTCGGTCGACTAACTCAGTCATCAGGTCAACCGCGATGTACCAGGTTTGTTCAAGTTCAAGAGACGCAGTCAATCGTCTCCATCAATCAGGTTGTTCAGAGAGAGTCAGTCGTCTCCAATCAACCTCGTCCGAGATGTTATTCATCTCGAGTTTTGTGGTTCAAGTCATCATGCTTGTTCTTCACATTTACTTCTTCAAGCTCGACATTCTTGTCATTCATGTCTTCGCTTGAGGGGGAGTGTTGCGGTTACTTAAACCGTGTTAGTATTGGGCCTTGTTGGGCCTCGTCTGATTCATTGGATTAGGGTTTTAACCCTAACTTAATCTATATAAGCTTAGCTATCGACTTGTGTGATAGCAAGCCGTTAAGATGTAATCCTAATAAGAAATCAGTCGTGAGCTCTTATTAGCTTGCCGTGGATTAGTCTCGATCAATCAATCGATCGAGGATACCACGTAAAACTCGTTGTCCCGTGTTATTTTCAATTCCGCATCATCAAATTCTACATGTATTAAACAATTTTTTTATATCAATGAGGTAATTTCTGGTATGTATTCACAACTTGTATGCATTCCTACATTTGTCTCAAAAAACAAATAAGAAAAAGGAGAAAATAAATCACAAATCTCATAAGTAGATCACAAATCTAATATTGTGGACCATAAGTCCGAAGGACTTGAGAGCAAATCGAAAATTTCATAAAATAGAACACAACCTTGTAATATGTACCAAAAATCCTATAAAATATACAACAAATCTCATTAGATAGACTCATACTATATTGTACCAACACCATAAATAGAATGAGTTATGTAAGCACTGAATTCAAGCCTTGCGAAGAAGTCCCCAGGAAGCCATACTCATATTGAACTATCTCGAGTTGCATCGTCCACCAGTAGTCGATGATTCCCTCGCTCGCTCTTGTCAGCCAAGTACAAGTATTCAAGCTCATCAATCACCGGGAACTACTTTAAATCTTATAGAAGTCAGCAATACGTATAAGTAATGCATTTAAAAGCGTTATTCTACGTAAAAGCATTTTGGTGATTTAGAAGTGTAGAAGTATAAGATTTTAAGCATTAAAACGCGATTTTAACTACATTAATAAGGGGAAAACACGACTCTACATAAAAGCGTTTGGATAACCTAAAAATGTAAAATTTTAATCTTTAAAACGCCATTTTAACTACGGACTACATTCATTCAACAATTAATCTGTAGTTGAACTACTACGACTACCCTGTCCCAAAACCTAACCGAACCCTATATTTTCAGCAGCAAAGCAGTGACCGCTTGAAGAAATCAATATCTGGGAGGACGAATTCCCTTTAAGGCTTGAACAGAATACTAGCTTAACAAAATAAAATAATCATTAGCCCATTCTGTAGACAAGGGGATTGAAATATGTCTGGAGAAACACAACTCTCAAGATGGAAGATGGCATCACGCCAGAACATGTAAACTCTCTACAAACAACACAAAATTTACAAGAGGTGATAATATTCAATCATTTACATTCCACGGGTTGACCATCGACTGACTATTGAGGACATAGATCTGACAGCACCCTGTACCACAAGCACGTATATTATTTGAGATTAATTACATTGCTGATACTACGGCGTGTGCTGATGACTTTGGAAAGGTCTTCTGACGCTGCGGTCATTCATTCAAGCTTTCCTGAAAGGGGTCCAAAAGAAAGTCAACTGGTCAGGAAACGTAAAGGCTTTGCTTATCGAGCCAAAAACAAGGAAATGCTTGATCAATGGCTACAAGTATGCAAAACTACATCTCTGACATGGCTTCTTGAGCAAGACCAGTTGGAGCTCTCTAGTAGTAGTATTAATAAGAAACTAGTCATAAGAATGAAAAGACCATATGTATGCTAGAAAAGAATTATCCATGGGAGAACTAAACAGTCCTTGGGTAGTATTCTTGACATTAGGGAAACCTTAGGCGACTCAGGAGGGAAAGAAGCTTGCCTTGCTGGTTCTCTAAAGGTGTTGAACCTGTCGTATGGTTGAGAATTTCCTCCATCATTTTCAAATGGGCACTAAATTTCTCACTGTTCTCCGCAGAGAAAGTTAGTTTCTCTTTCTGTTGCAAGATTCGCAACCTTTGCTGGAGCCGTCCAACTTCTGAGTCAAACTTTGATCTTTTGCCATCAATGCCAGCAGGACTCTGCACGTCAATGCCCTTAATCTCTGCCATGCTCATTCTTGGAGAAGAAACACATGATGACTTACTGCTCCAAGCACCAGCATGCTCAACATACGTACTGGTGGGTATTGTTCCCCTTCTACCATTACTATGCATTGCCGCATCATCTATGACGTGAACATCGTACACAGTCAATTCTGTCTCAGCCACGGAACTGAACGTATCACTGTCCCTTCGATTCACATTTTCAACATTTTCTTCTAGTTCCTCCCCAACCACTTCCTCTTTCCACTGCTGGAACTCTTCTGGTACAGGAGGTAAATTGAAAGGTAAACCCTTGGGATTTGACGCTATTTCTTCCACAGGTTGTAACCTAGAGACTCTTTCACAAATTGATGACAAATTTGCCCTTATTTCCACTTCCTTCTCATACGCTGACAGAGAGTCATCATCCCTGGAGAATGTCAACGGTGAGACTGGACTCTTATCCAAGTTATAGTAACTCACATCGCCATTCACCTCCACATTTGTCGGTGGGGTCAACTGCTGATGATAACCTTCCACTTCTTTCTCAAGGAAATAGATCTCCCTCTCCCGCCTGATAAGGATCTCCTGCAGCACGTTCATCTCCTCTTCATCATAGGCAAACGTTTCCTCCACCACCCTTTGACTCTGCCTCAGTTCCATCTTCAGTGACGCCTTCTCTTCTTGCAACCGCAATATCATGGCCATTGCTTCGTCAGCGGCACTTGCAGCAGCTGCTCTCTCCTTCTCTAGTTCTTGGTAAAGGGAAGCACGAGCGGTTTTCTCTTCTTCAAGTGCTTGTTCCAGATTTCTGATAGTATTCAAGTGTTCTACCATGCTGTCCGCTACTACCTCTTCAGCTATAGTAACAGATTTCTCAGCAGCTGATGATGAAGCCATCTCACTGGGTCTTTTCCCCTTTCCACTTGGTTCAACAAGATTAAAACTAGACATCAATTTTTCAGCAGGACCCATGACAGTCGGAGCATTCGGGAGTCCTAAAATAGCATAATTACAAATTGGTATCAACCATCACTTTAGAAAGAGTAACTCCAGCGGATAGTAAACACAAAAGGGTCTAGATTATACAATATATAGCTAGTGAAGTTACAAGGCAATATGGAAGTCAGTATGCATATAACAAGTACCAGAACTTAGTATAACGGAGCTAATATTATGAGATCTTCTCAAGGGCAAATGTTTACTCACCCAATCGATGACGATGTTGTGCTCCGTTTACAAGATCCAGGCTGCAGCTTTCACCACACTGGCCAGCAGTGGGGCGGCTAATGAAGTTAGAAGCAAGACCAGTGGAATGCTTCTGATGTGCGATTATTGCAGCTCTTCGCCGCCTCCTTTCAACAGACTTCTGCTTCGGACTCGCAAATTTTCTGCCCTTAGCATTATCACATCTACTCTCGTCGTTTGCCAATTTTGAACCCAAAAACAGACCGGAAACTGCCTCTCCCTCCAGTTCAGCAACCCCATTTCGACATTTCCCTTCATCCCTAACTCCCTCGGCCTGCGAACTGCAGCAATCATGTTCATTACAGCACACCAAATCAAAAGGGAACCTACTCTTCACCAGCTCCTGAACAAAAAGGATCTTCTGAATCGGCCAATTAATCAGCAGCATATACAAGCAAAAGTCGGTATTACGGTACCCAAACCAGCCGCAACAAGGACAAGGAAACCCAATCCCCAGAACGCCCAGCAATTTAGAGGGAAGGAAGGCAAAAGCGGACAAGCAGAGGAGGGAATAGGTAATAGCAAGATCAACAAAAGCCGCCACAAGCCCGGCCAAAGTCCAGGCGCGAACTTCCCGGAGACCCATCGTCATGTCCACAAGATTCCGAACCCCAGAAACCCAATTCCCGAGTGGAATCCGAAGCAGAAATTACCAACCACCTCCGTTTGATTAGAAACGCAAAGCCCAAAACCAGGCACCAACAAACGCATAATTTTCTAAAACTTATAACATAAGAGATCAACCTGGGAAAACCATGCTCTGTTCAGGGTTGGAAAAGTGAGAGCAGTGAGAGCCCGGCGGATGATCGCAGGCTAACTAAAACAATGAGAAATGATATTTTTTTAATGGCAATTGGCCAAGTAAGAAACCAACTGTGGAGGAGGTACGAGAAGCCAAAACTATATGCGCAGGATAATACAAAAGGCGACAGCTTCACGGCTCTGTGTGGGAACGGCAGCAAAGCAAGCACAGAACAAAAGTTACCGATTCCTCGAATGCGCACAGTTTCCTCCTTATTTTCTTATTTTGTCCTTTTTATCATAAACACCGTTTTGTAGCTTGAGTATTGATCAAACTCTCCAATTATTGCTACTAGAAAACCTCTTCACACCTAAGTGATAACAGCAGTGATTAGGGTCGGATATGTTAACACCTAATGGTGTTATCTAACCACATGCAATAGGAAATCTTCTATTTGCTTTTTTGTAATGATTAATGGATTGACTAGTGATGATTTTAGAGGGATTCATTTTAAAAATTTAACTAATTGGATTTGTATTGTTTACAGCTCTTTGCTATCGCATCCTAACCCGAGTTGGTTGATTCGGACTCATTGTACACTTTTTACCTCCGGTTTGCTTAGTCATTTGAAGCATTTTTACTCCGGTAGATTTGGTTTTACGCTGGGTTTTGCCTTATTTTGGTGTTTTTCAGACTGTGGCAGGTGGAACCAACCCCGGAGTCGAAAGTTGGACGAAAGGGCGAAAAATCAAGTCAAACGGTGGAAACAGTAGCAGATCACGGTTTGGGTTGACTATTCACGGTCACTAAGACCGTGAACTGGAGGCACTACCCGTGAACAGCCAAGCATCTAGAGCACAAATAGCTTTCACTAGACACAAGTCAGTTTACGGTCGTAAGATCGTGAAAGTCATAAGATCGTGAAAGTCAGGTCATTGCCCGTGAACTGGGATTAATGATGTGGCGCGTTTCGACTTGAGATCACGGTCGTGAACTGAGCCCGATCTAAGTATATAAAGGAGGTTGAGCTGAATGACAAAATAGAGAGAGACCTAGTGTGAGAAACCTCTTATTTAGATTTCTAGAGTGACGAACCAAAGAAGAGGAGAATCTAGGGTTTCATCTTCAAGCAAGGAATTGGGAATTCCTCCCCCAAAGGAGGATTTCTCCCACACAAGGAGCAAAGCTAGCATCTCATTGATGGTTTTCCTACTTCTCTCTTGTGTTTTCCCTTCTCCTAGTATGGAGTAGTCCCTTCTTTCACTTGAGTGTTTGTAAACTCTAGCTACAATTATGTGAATGCTTGTATGGATTGAATGATTTATGTGTGGTTGTGTCTAATGTGTATGTGGAGGTATTATTCATGAATGATTGTGTTGTGTGAAAGCCTATTAATCTAATTGCCATTCTAACCTAGGTAGAGAGGAAAACCCCCTTCCTTTCTTTGAAAGAGGCTTGAATGCTGGGTTTTCTTAGGCAATTCATTGTCTCCTATCTAGGTTAATGTAGGGCAAATCTCTTATTTCGTATTAGCACCTAGGGTTTGGTTGTGGGTGGCCGTCCGAACTCTGATTCGAGGGTGGAGTCTTACCATCCCTTAGTCAATAGGTCGAGAGAGTCACGTTGGTGGCTTGGATCATATCCCCTTCCCTCGACCTAGAGCCTAAGAGAGTGGCGCTTGGCTACTTGTTACACTTCCCTATGGTTTACAACCCCCTCACCACACACGACCATTCGATCCAACAAGTCGTAATTGTTAGCTAGGGGGAGCAACACCCGGGTGAAGCCTTATCAATTAGTGTCAAATCCATTTACCTTTGCAAACACTTTAGCTATAGATTGTTGTTTTCACCTAAAATCAACTGCTAGATAATGTTTCAAGCAATCAAAGTAGGGGTACATGAACCGGCCAGGTCGATATTTAAACATACTTGCCTTGTACTGCACCCAGTTAAGGTTTATACTTGGGCCTTAATTGTGAGTTTTATTGTGGTGCAATTGTTGCGAGTCATTGGTGTTGGAGTCCGAACAACAGCTGAAGAGGAGTGGAGCAGCACTGGTGGTGGAGATTGCAATAGCGGCCGATGAGGAGAGGTTGTGTGTACTTGGCTCGATCCTACTAACACTACTTATCCCAACCGTAGGCCAAGTGCAGCCAACGATCATGTGTAGTTTAGTGAAAGTAAGCTTTAAATATCAACTCGGACGACAAATCTGTTATTACTTCGTGCAATTATAGTGTTATCTACCAAATCAAGGCTTGAATTAAACTATCAACTATAAATCAAAGCAAATAAAAGTTGATTGCAATCTATCGAGAGAATGTCACTCGGGTGTGCTTTCCTCTAGCTACAAATTAGATCGACGATAGAGGTTCCAAGCTTGCCAACACATGATTTATACCACAAAGAATCCTAATCCCGCTTCAAATTCTTCTCGACTTACTCAAGCTCACTATAATGGACTATTATGAGGGAGGGTTTCTAAATCCGGCAAAGTAGAACATCTAGAGCATGCCAATTAGATTCCCAATAATGGATAATGATCCAATACAACATTATATTCCGATTTCATGCTCGTTCTATTGACCCGCAATGAAGAATTAACAAATTTCTCTAATCAACCTAATTGGATGTTCTCTATCTTAGGTTAATAACAATAATTGGAGAGTTTGATCAATACTCAAGCTAATTCCATGAAATACCTTAATTCCATGTATAGTCGAGAGTTCAAATAACCAAAGGAATTATTCAATCATCTAATCTAAAATACATAGTTAGAATTCCACAACACCCAAATGAGATTGGGTTTACCTCATAGTGAGAGAAAGGGAGACAAACACAATATAGAGAAGCAATAATCCCGAGGGAGTGGATTCTTCCTCTTGATCTTTGATAACACCAAACTTGGTGTTATTTACCCTACATATCTAGGTATGTTTTGTGTCAATTCATGTGTTTAAATGCTTGAACATCGTCAAATACATCCCTATTGCGTTTCTATTTGATTTCGATGCGATTTTAGCTTGTATTAGGCGATATGTGCGAATTAGGTACAAGTTACAAATGTAGAGAAAGGGTTGGAATTGAAGATCGTGGCCTAGAAGCTAAAGATCATGACTAGGATCACAAGCCACAAAGACGAGCTAAAGATCGCGGCCCAGAAGCCAAAGATCGCGACTGTGATCTTGGAGGCCCAGGGCGCGAACTACGCGTGGAAGGAGCCTTGGAGAAGCAGAGAGTTTCCCCAGTCGCATCTTGCCAACGTTCACTTTGTCCACAAGGAAGATTGCGGCCATGACTCGTGGATCGCGACCGTGAAGTCAGCCCGTGATCTTCCCCCTTCAGAAGGCCATGACGACGTTGTCTTGAGATCGCAGCCTATCCTCAGAACATCCCGCCCGTGATCTCCTATCCTCAGGCCGCGAACTTCCCCAAGTCCAGAATGCCTATAAATACATGACCCCTTTTCACTTTTTAAGAGAGCTGATTTTGAGAGAAATTTTCTAGTTCTAGAGAGAGAGAAGAGAGAGAAGCTAAAGAAAGGAGAAGAAGGAGGAGCTAGGAGCAAGAAGGCACCCTCTTCAACCCCAAGTCTTATTCTATTTATACCATGTATCTTCTTTCCTCCTTTATGGGGTAGTCTTCTAAGGTACTAGGGGTTCGAAACTCCAAACCCTAGTTATAGGGTTTACTATGTATCCATGGAAATTTTAGGGTTTGAATGAATGAATGTGTTTGTCTAGTTGATTTTAATGCCACCCTTTCCTAAATGATGACGCTTGGGTAATTTGCCCTACTCTTCCCTCTTAGCCTACTTTATGCTACCGCGCTAGGTACGGAGTTCTAGGGTTAGACGGGTATGCGCCAACTGGCGAGTTTAGGTTAGATGTGTGAATGGGGGCCTATAATGGTTGAGGCGACCGAACCCCTGCTATAGGTACCCTTCCGGGATGAAACCTCGATGTGGATGGTGGATAATGTCCATGGAAATGAGCCATAAGCTTAATGCCCCAGATACGATAGCCTATAGATCGAGGTGACTGGAACATGGGTTTAGGGGAGGCGTGTGGATAACCACGAAAGCCCACGGGAAAGAGCTCACTCACCACATTCGATGGCCCTAAGTATCTATATATGCATAGTGACTCTAAGCTAGGGGGAGGGATAGTTCCCCGAAGTACCTGTTTTTAGCTTTGATCAATCTTTAGACTAGAATGTTCTCATATCCTCCACACAAAACCTCACAAACTGATTAACTAATTAGCAACTAGGTGGGAAATAGGCTAGGGTACCGGGACCCGAGTAGAATCTGACCTTGATTACCATTATACGAAAATGTCTTTCTAGGTTAAACTTGGCCTAGTATGGGATAGTTGTTGATATGTACTAACCTCTGACAATAACCTGCACGGATGCAAGTGATCAAGCTTTTTGGCGCTGTTGCCGGGGAACCTTGGTAACTAGTAGAAACCCATTGAGTTGTTAGTTAGTCTTTACCTTGCTTTATTTGTTTTGTGTTCTATTTTGTGTGTGTGTGTGTGTGTGTTTGTTTGTTTCATTTTGTTTGTTGTTTTTAAGTGTTTGTTTCGTGTTTTGCTCTTTTCGTATTTGTTTCGTTGTATGTTTTGTTATCCAACTTTGTACGTCACGAGTTGTTGAGGTTTTGTTTTGTAGCCTCGTTGTATGAGAAAAGGGATTCCTTGGAAATATTAACTCTTGATTCTGAAATCGAGAGAACCCTTCGGAATCTAAGAAGAGTTGCAAGACCTCAACCTCCACCAATGGCGGAGCATCGGGCTCAAGTACCACCAAGGTCGAGAACAATGGGATTTTATTCTTGTCCAGGAACTAAGGACATTCAAGTCCCAATACTTTACCCTACTCTCACGGGGCAGGAGTGCGAGATCTTGCCGATTATGATTTCAATGATCAAGACCGATTACCAATTCAAGAGGGAAAAGAGGAAATTCCCTATCATCATGTAGAGAAATTCCTCCTCCTTACCAACAGGTTGAATGTGAATAAAGATGTTAGAGAGTTTGTCCGCCTATGCCTTTTCCCCTGCTCCCTTACTGGAGAATCTAGGAAGTGGTTCATGAGTCAACCCCACCACTCTATCACTTTGTGGGATGAGCTTTGCA